TGTCCTCTTGGGTGAGACTTTTGCCCAAGGATGAGGGGGGAGGGCGGGGCCTGCCCCAGGGGTGGAGACTGCGGCTTGGGCCAAAGCCCACAGCCTTGGCCTCAGCGGGCCTCAGCGGCCTCAGCGTGGAAGTCTCTTTCCGGGCAGGAAGAGACAGCTAGGGGCTACTTCTCGTTAGCATGGCTGAAAGTGGCGACACCAAGATGGACACGAACCGGGAAGGTGGCGTAATGAGAGCGCTCAGGACTCCGGGCAGGGGTGCGCACGCCTCGGGTTCTGCCAAGCTGGGAGTTCACAAGCTCCTGGAGTCTAAACAAGCATAAGCAGACGGGCTGGGTGGACGCAAGAGGGACTTGTTGATTCAGGTTCAGGATTACCGCTTGAGAACTTTCTCGAAAGTCTAAATAGATGATTTGGTGACTTGGGGCTCAAAATGGGAAGTTCTCCTTGACATACTAGCAGGGAAACATGGGCCCCTCGTTCCCTTGAAAGCTGCAGGTTGAAAACATTAACATCTTCTGCAAGAGCTGAAATCAGCCCTGGCCAGGCAGCTCTCCGGTAGCTGCTGAGGAAGTTTAGAAATGGGAGTGGGGCCGCCTACCGACCGAGGGGCACGTTCCAGCCCGGAAGAGCTTCCTTTTCATTCGGTGGGGTGGTGTCGAGCAGGAAAGCCTGAGAAGCTCTGTGAGGATACAGGCGGCCCCCCCTCGCTCTCCCGGACTAGCTGATTCATAAACGAGAACCTCAGACCTCCAGGTCTTAGAGATCTTGCGTCCCGAGAGGGCAGTGACTGAAATGGCAGTTCCTGGGGTGAAGCTCAGCCAGCTTGGCCTCAGGAACCAGGTAGACCAGGCCCCAGACACGACCTTTGTTCCACAGGAGGAGGAGCTGAGGCAGTTGAGAGATTGGTCTGGTAGTAAACTGCCCATATCGTCAGGCCCATAGTCTGAAACCCATGGAACAGAATCTACAAACTAACACTCCTCCTGATTGCAAGCTCCCTGCTCCAGGCTGTGTCAAAGGAGAGCCTGACACTTGCCCCAGATGTTCTCAGGGAAGGGGCCTTTGGGGTGAGGGTGGGAGAGCTGGGCATGGCTGTCTGGGTGCATCCTGGCAAGCCTTCGTCACACATCAGTTGTTCGATGAGGCAATTTAGGCCTGATGCCCCTGGGCCTCACGGTTACCTGTCTGGACCCCGTTTCTTTTCATTCTGATTCTCATCAGAAGTGGCTAGACTCAGGCTTAGTGTGAGTGAGAGAGCTCCCGGCTTACTCCCCAGCTCCCCACCCCACTCTATGCTAAAGAATCCTTTGCCTTTGCCTCTCTCCTCCAACTCCAGTCTGGTTTCTTACATCCCTTGACCTTGACCTTCTTCAAGACCCACCTCCTTCAGGAAGCCTTCCGTGAGCCCACGTAGAGAGGAACAATTCCACTGGGCTTCCTCTGAGCCAGATGCTACCCCCAACCCCCAATCCACACCTATCCAGACCTGAGTGTGGCCTCATTTGGAAAGAGGGTCTCTGGAGATGTCATTAAGTATCTCAAGAAGAGCATATCTTGGATCCAGTGACTGGTGTCCTCGGGAGATGAAAGCCCACAGAAACAGAGAGAGAAGGCGGAGTAAGAAGGCAGAGACAGGAGTGAGGCTGCTGCGGACCAGAGAGCACCACGGGCCCCGAGAAGCTACAAGAGACATGAGAGATGGCCTCCCCAGACTCTTTGCTGGGAGGGGGACCCCGCCTGCTCCTCAGTCTCAGAGTTCTGGCCTCCAGACTGTGAGCGAAGACATGTTGATTCTTGTGAGCCACCAAGTGCATGATGCTGCCTTCTGTGGCCACAGAAAACGAATCCACACCGTCTGGAGGCTTTACCCATCCTGCTGCAGGCCCGTTTCCCGGCCCAGCGCAGGGCCCACCTCACGGCCATCTTGCAGCTTTGCTGAGCCAACTCCCTCCTAGATGGCCATCAGAGGGGCCAGCGGGGACAAGGCTATGGGACTTGCTGGACAGATGTGCTGAAGAGTCGGGCTCGCATTTACCAGCAGGGAGCTCCTGGCTGGCAGCTTTGGGGACACACTGTAAATTCACCAATCGCAAGGCAGGTGCCACTCCCAGTGTTGTAGTACCTCTCCAGGAAACTCGCCCGCTGTCCTGGCTTCTACCCCTCCTGGGGGGCGGGACTAGGCCCTGGCAGGTGGCCTGGGCCTCCCCTGGGCCTGCCATCACGGCCCAGGCACTAGGCCTGCCTCTTGCCTCATTCTGGGCCAAAGGCTCAAACAGCGACTGAAAATATCTCCAAATTTCTCCCGCTAAGATCAAGTCAAAGTCAAATGCTCTGGAGGCTGGGTCAGCCAAGGAGCTAGCCCGGGGCCTTGGAAGGAAGGGCCCACACTCTGAGATGCTTCTGAGGGGGGGATCTCGGGAGGAACAGCAAATAAAAACAGAGTGTAGAGATCAGTAGGTCAGCAAGAGCCTCCCGGTCGGTCGGAGACCTGAGTGTGTCTGGCCCTGCCTGGGTTAACCTCGGGGCATCAGTGAGCAAGGACCGAGGTCTCCGGGTTGGAACTTCCCAAGTCCTGGAGTTTGCTGTAAGAAAAACCCTCAGTTGGGTCCCCTTGGCAGCCTAAGGCCCTATGATCCTTTCCCCCACGATATTGCCAACTCCTGTTTGATTCAAGGTCATCACCGGAAGCTGGGTTGTCAGCCTCCATCCTCACCAGAAGGCAACAGCGCTCTCCTGGACAGGCCAGCGGTTTGCAAAGGCTGGGTCCTTCTCCCTTCTTTCACTTTTGGGGGTCCTTCCTCTCCAAGTCTGATCCCACCTGAATCCAGGCTGCCTTCCACTCCCACCGGGGGAAAAAAGCGCATGGGCGGTTCCCTGCAGGCTGCCTCACACCCCTGCTGTAGGTGGGTGCTGCAGCATTGCCATGGTGTTGCCTCCCAGCTCTGCAAGGCCCCAGGACCAGCCCGAGGACCCCTGTTCCACACCGACCCACACTTCTCCAGCCTACCTGGCGTGGTCCCGAGAATCCCCCTCTATCATACCAGGTCTTTTGGCCCCAAGCGCGGGCGCTGGCACTGGGGTTTGCCCTGATGCCCTTTCACAGGCCCCAGATGGTCTCAGGCAAGAAGCTTGATTCCAAATTCCCCACCGTGCCAGCCAGTGGAAAGCTCATTAAAAAGTAGCTCCAGTAATTGGTCAGATAATTGCGAGTTACAGGGAGGGCACTGGATCGGCCCGCCCGGTCCGATGACTGAGCGGGGTGTCCCTGGCACTGTGAGTTCACAGGTTCCCTGAGCCTGTTTCTGACGACTTGACACCCATGTAAGACCTAGTTCTAGGTTTATTCCCTGGAAGAGAATGTCCATCCTAAATCAGGCGGGTCCGTGGTTCCCAATCCCGAACTCACAGGCTGTCCCCCAGCACTGTTTTAATCACCCCCCCCAACCATCTAATTCTTTCAACTTAGACTTGTTTATAATCAGTCAAGTTTTTCCAGATTGACTAAAAGAGTTCATATGCCCACTGTAGCCAGAGCGCTGGGCCAGACCCAGGCCTCGGGCCAGCTGGAGGAGTCAGAAGAAAGTTTCTGTGGGATGCAGACAGGGAAGGAATGACAATTACACCCACAGTCCCAACCCCCATAGGCGTCCCCAAGGACACCCTCCTGTGCCATCCTGACCTGACCCCGCCACCAAGGGCTTTTGGGAACCGAAACTGCTGAGCCCAACTCTCACATCCTTCCTCTCCGTGTATCCAAGGGTTAAAAACACTTCCGAACTGCCCTTCCAACTGCAAGGTCAAGCAGCTGTCCAAACCACCCAAGGAGAAGCCAGAGCCTGGGACGGCCGACCCCAGCTAGCCGGTCATCACAAGCCCCTAGGCCGGCCTGCTGGCCGGCCTGGCAAGGGAAGAGTTAATGGGCAATCAGCTAAGGCTGATAGTTCAGGCTCCAAAGTTCAGTCCCAGTCAGAGCCACCCCGGAGGAATTGTAAATCTCAGGGAGTATTTAACAAAACAAAAGCAACCTGGAATTACATGCAGGTTTGGTTTTCTACAGTACCTATTTACTTAATCCCCTAGGTATGTGGCTCCATGTCAGATCAGCTGGCTTTGCTGGCCCTTCACCCTCCCTGGCTCAAAACAGTTTAAGTTTCAAGCTAATTCCCTGTTTTTGCTCTTCCTCTTCACAGGGCCACTGGAGACAGCCCAGCCTGCCCGCCTCGGCTCTCTCTCCCTCTCTCTCCCTGTGGCTCTAGACTCTGCGTGAGTCAGCCTGGCTAGGGTCAGAGTTGGGTGACAGCAGCTCACCGCCCCGCTCTCAGCACCAGGTCTTGGAAAACTGGACAAGAGGAGCTGGCACTGGCAACAGGGGACGCCAGCGGCCCGTGCCACCTCCCCAGTTAATGGGGAGGGATCCCCTCTGGGGCTGTATCTGGGGGAGGTGGCAGGGTTGGAGGTGAGAACAAGGGCTGTTTATCAGCTACCGCTACCCCTTGCTTTCCAGATTTCCAAAACCCTGGGCCCCTCAGTGCCAGTCAGGCCAGCCTGACCACCCCAGACCACTCCCCCTTTCCAAGCCCAGACCCAGTATCCCCTCTCCTCTGCCACACAGGTTGGGGCTGGGATACGGGTTGCCAAGGAAAATACCAAGCGCCAGCTAGCAGGCGGCTTCCCTTCCCAGGAGCGCACACACCCTGCGCTCCAGGGTGGTGCAGAGGGGAAGTCTGGG